ATGGATAAACTAACGAAAACATCTCCTGCAGGTTTTTTAGTTCTTGTCTCATTTCATTTTCCGTGCAGATCCGTCTTGTTCTGTTGATTCGAGTCCGAACAAGACCACGTTTATACTCTAGGGGCACAAAGCTGTCAAAGTGTAAATATTGGCCTGTCCAGATCATCTTTCGGTAAACGGATCGGGCGATCAATCCGTCTTCTCCTCTCCTCATGCTGATGTCGAGGAAATTCTGTGTGTTGTTGGCTTCGGATTCCATTGTGAAGCGAAGATTTAGATGTAATCTATTAGATTCCTCTGAACTTACTGCAGCTTCCTCTAGGCTTTATGTTGTCACAAGGGTGTCGTCGACACATCGTTTGTACAGGATTGCACGTTCTAGAATGTTATTTGCCTTCTGTTCGAGATGTGCCATAAACAGGTCTGCCAGAACAGGACCTAGCGGGCTTCCCATAGAGCCACCATCAACTTGCCTGTACGCATTTCCTTGAGACTTTAAAGACACATTGGTTGTACAGAGTGGTAATAAACGCTCACGCACTGACACTGGTAGTTTCACTCGGATTTGATTACTTTTTGTATGATCTCAAATGATTTTTAAAAACTTCACAAACTGGTATATTGGTTAATAGGGATTGGACATCGAATGAAGCCATGTGTTTTCCTTTGACGTTTATCTTGTCCAAAACGTGTATCAGTTCGAAACTGTCCTTGACGGTATGTTTCACCATTGATTCGTGGACTGGTTCTAACACCTTGACTAGCCATTTGCCCATTTTGTGCTGTGGTGAGTTCGTCATGGACAGGATTGGCCTGATTGGTACGCCAGGCTTATGGAGTTTTGGCAGGCCATAAAGTTGTGGGATATGAATTCCTCTAGACTTCAGAGCCCGGGCAGTGTTCTCATCAATGAAATACCCCTCCAATAGGAACTGAACTTCACAGGCAATTTAACGCTCCAGCTCTGTTCGTCACATGTCTTTTCTTGTAAAAACTTGCTAGGGTCATTGAGGATGCAATCTATCTTTCTTCGATAGTCTGCACGGTCCATCATGACAGCCCCAGATACTTTGTCAGGATATAAAATGATCAAATCGGACTTTTCCTTGAACTTCTGTGAAGCTGATAAATGCTCAGGAGTGAGAAGTGTGTTTTGTTTCCAAGGTGAAAATCATTTTAACCCCCTCCCAATTTATGTTTGTCTGTTTCATTGTATTTTACTCTTCTCTGTTGTCATGCTAACCTCCTATATATTTGATGTTTTTTCTGCAGTATGCACCATGTTGAGATGCAGCGAAATCGTCTTGGACATAAATCGTGCAGTATTGCAAATTGGTCTTTGCTTTGGAAATTGATCTCGGTGAAGGCTTCCTTCAGTTTTCTAATGAACATATTTGATCAACCGTTTTAAAGTATTCATTCAGGATATATAACCGATGCATATATTTCATGCTCTATATTCATCCACTTTTTGTGAAATCGGAAATATATCGAACGAACCACTGTATATGCACTGGGAGAACTCATTCATTTGTGAACAAGCTTACGGCCGTGTCAGGTACCTTATAATCCGGGCCCCACCTCACACTGACACAACACCAGCTGATGACCTATTTCCAGCGATAAACTGCACATAGTTTGTGTAAGCCATGTGGCATCACGTCATGCATTCTTGGACGTTAAATTACTGCCTGGTGGATAGCACCTGTATGATAGGATAACATGACTGTCAGACAATAAACTGAAATGCGATGCAACGTTTATCTGCTCATGAAGATAGAGAAGCACCATACAGTTTGTACAACATGATTCCTGTGTGTTACCTTGATACTCAAACAAATCATCATATGCAGAATGCAATAAGATCCATTTTGCGTTGAAATGTAGCAGGAGTTTACGTGGACTGTATGATCGACCAGCCTGAATACGGTGAAAAGTATAAAATGGATAATTCAACCCCTTACATGATTCAAGTCGGCACGGTATTTGAAATTGAGTTTAATAATATATATCCGATCTAGGTCTGAACAGTCATACTAATCCGTTTGAATAAAACTGACGGTTCCGCAATTC